TGTGCTGTGGACTCATATTTGAAAAGTCAAGAGTGTTCATGTTAGGTTTCTAGAAAGTTGTTAAAAAACTCTTTTTAAAAAAAAAATAAAGAAGCTTATAATGTCTTGGAAAAATAGAAGGGTTTTCATTTGACTTTATCAGATTGCAAGGGTGAGAAAAATAATCTGCTGTGTGACCAGTTGTCTTGCATAGTATAAATGATAGACGAGCCCTTTAGTTCAGTTGTGGGCTTGTATCAAGGATGACCAAAATTCTTTGCAATGACAAATAGGTAATGAGCTTCTTAAATGAAAATTTTTCATAATGGAGAAAGAAAGTGATTGATTCTTTTAAAATATTAAGATGATCATCTGTTTCTGACTCTGATTAAGACAACGGTGTAGGCTTTTGGTATCCTTCAGCACTGAGCCTGCCCTGACATTTCTGCCAGTAAACATTAGAGGATAAGGTAGATATTTTCCTGCATCTGTTTTAAATATCCTTTCAGTTTTGAAAGTGAAAGACATGAATGCAGTTCATTACTTAGAATGTGTCAGTCATGTTGCCACTTAGACCACCTTCAAACTGGAATCCTCTAATTCCTTGCTGCTGGATCTTTCCCTGAGAGATCCATGTCACTTGTATGCTGATGATTCAGAAGGTCATAGCGCTTCGGTATAGTGTCTCACAAATGTTGAAGTCAAATGATAACTATGGATATATGCAGTGTTTTTGTTGGTTCATGCCTCAGTGGTGTGAAATAAGAGATGGGTGACACAGAGAAAGAAGAACCTGTTCTCCATCTGTGTGCAAGGCACATCAGAGGGAAAGTAACCTAGCAGCCAATTAGGTTAAAAAATGACATGCTGTGCAAAATGGAATTTAACATTCAGAAGTGTCTGCTAAATAACTGTATTATTTAACAAGCTAATTATGGTTCTTTGCTTCCAAACATGACCAATGAACTAATTTGCCTGAGGAGATTGCAATGTGGTAGCAATAACGAAGCTGTTACCACAGTGCCTTGGTACTGCACAGTTGCTGAATACATCCTTTATCACTTAATTACATTTCAGCTGTTCATAAAAACAGATGTGTTTAACCATGTGATAATAAAAAGAAAAATTAAGCCTAGATGTTGTTCATCCTTTTAGTTGGTAAGCACAATGTATTTTAACTTGGTACCTTGGAGAGGAAGCTATAGGATTAGGTCTCATTGCTTTGCTACAAAAGTATATCTTCTGAATTCTGTTTTGTACTCCTTTTTTTTCCACTGGGAAAAACTGAGTAACAGTGTGTTCTCCCTGCTCTGTAGAAGGGCAGGAGTATGGCTCAGAGAATTGGGCATCTAGAAGTGGAGTATCATGGTGAAAATCAGGAGTAGCTGAGGCAGAAACACTGACAGGGCTTTTTGAGTTGACTGTTGAGGTCATCTTGAAGCTGGGGAGTTCCAGAGATGTCAGCTGGAGCTCACTACTGTTCTGGAAATGAACAGAATAATGGGATTCTGAGGTAGATGGATTTTCTTCTTTTTATTTTTCTTTTTTTTTTTTTTGGTGCAACCAAAAGGCTGCAAGAATGGTGAAAGCATCACAGTAAGAGCGAGAAGAATACTACAGTCTTGCAAAACAGATTCTGCCATGTTTCGTCATTCATCTGTAACGTGGAATCTGTGGTCGCTAGCTTTATCCCAGTAATCTAGCTTCTTCCTACTTCACTTGGTACTCTTAAAACTTCGAGTCATTTCACCAGTGGAAATAGGTTTTAAGTGGCAGTCAAAAGATATAGCTGGATAAAATGCTGAACTTTCACAGATCTTAGCAAACAAATGTTTGATGTACTCACTTTGAAGTGTAAAAGTGAATCCGGTTCAAGATATGTGTTGCCCTGCCCCTATGTGGGTTATGAGAGAAATGTCTATGAAAGGGCACTGAAAATGAAGCTTTGTTTGGGTAAACAGGTACGTAGAACAACCCCATTTAGCCTGACTATCTGTCCTAATGTAATTGGGCATAGAGGGATATTTGGAGCAATCTCTGGTGACTCTAACAAGTCAATATTTTGCAGCCTTACAAGAGAGATGAATATTGGTCGTAGCTATTGCAGTGATGGGTAATGCATGTTTTTGTGAAGATAAAATGATTGACTAATTAAAGTGCATTTGGATCTTCAATCTCTTTCAAAAGATACAACTAAAATCATGTTCCAAGTTCCTTACAGAAAACTGCATTAGATCTATAAGAATAGTGCTAAATACATGCTTATGCAAATACCTTATATTTGAATCTGCTATGCTCTCAGATTGTTTTAAGGGACAAAACAAAGCAGGCTAGATCATATAGAGCAGTTAATTTCCCTTTTCTGACTGACTTCATGGCCCTGTCTGTATTTAGCTTGCACGGGTGGCATCCAGATTGGCTTGGCATGGGCATAAGCTGCATGGAGCTGCTATGCCTTATTAGTACTGTATTGCTTCAGAGTTCGAAGTAGAATTTCGAGGTTGTGTCTCTGCGTCTTGCTTTGCTTTGAATGCAGTGTGTTTTGATTCTCTGGTGCTTCATGAGAGGAAAAGGAGGAAATAATTTGGATGTAGTGGACATCAGGACTTGCTTGAAGGCAGAACACATCAAGCAGTCAGTTTGCCCTGTTTGCAATGAGAGTGTTTTGTCAGCCCGAGTGAAAGTTTGCTTGGCCGCCAAACTTTGAGCTGCCTGGTGCAGGTTGGTAGGGGATCACAAATAAACTTGAGATTAAATTGTGCATAGAGGATATTGGTAAAGGTCTTCCAAAGGAGTGAGTGGGGGGTTTGTTTGTGTGTGCGGTGGTGGTTTTTTTTTACCAATGAGTTGATAATGTCACAGGATGATTTGTGGTCAGAATGATCTGGATACAGGAGACCTAATACTTTTTTGAAAAAATATTTGACTTTTTTTGTGTGAACCAGGTCTTCTGTCTTGAAGGACATTTACCTTAAAGCATTATGTCAGGCTAATGTTTTGTATGTTGTTTTAGTCTGATTTGATTGAAATTAGTTTTTAGAATTGCAGGTATACACTGCTGTAGGAATAACTTTTTGGTATTCATTATTCGATTATTTTTTTATTTGCACATAACTGTCAAGAGATACTTTCTCTTGTTTTTCTGTTGTATCAAAGCAATATGTTCCTAGCTTTTAATGTTTTACTCCATTAGGCTGTGGAATTGAATAGCTGTGGAATTGATTTGAGGTTTGGGAAGTAAAGGTACTGAAGGGTGGCTTTCAGTCTGGCCCTCAGATACCAAGAAAGCACTGCGGTATAGCAGACCTTTATGCTAGGGAAGGAAAGATGATCTTAAGGAATGCATACAAAATTTCCCTGTTGACTCATGCGTCTGATCTGAGGCAGGAAATGAAAACTTGTTTCTGTTATGAATGTCATCAAACAGTGGAGCTGGAAGTTCTGGGTAGTTGTCAAAATGGCTCCATTGAAGGTAGCTGATCTCCTTCTAGTCTGCAGCATGGAGCATGTGTCACTTGCAGCCTTCCAGAAGTTCTGTGCTCTCCTGAGCTTTGTAATGGCTTTTCTCTCTGAGTAGGCATTGCTAAATATGTTTTCGCAAGCTTCTGTTTGGAATAACAAATTGTTGCCAGAGTGGAGGTTTATTGACTTGAATTTCTAACTCCCACAGGTACTGTAAAATTTACCATATAATCCCTGCTTAAGGTAGATTCAGTTGCTTTCTTTAAAGCACTGATAAAGACTGAAAGGTAGTGTTGTGAGTGGAAAATTAGATTAGAATTAAAAATTTACTGTTTTGGCAGTATATTGCTGCAGATAGTGTTTTCTTATTAACGCTCCTGTTTTTGCAGTGTTGGAATCTCTTTTCGTCTTTCGCCATGGAACATATACATGAACTGCTATTTGATCTGGTAGATCAAATTAAACCCCAAACTAGCAGTAACGTTTCTAGAAATAGCTCGGTGGCAAACAAGAAAAGGGGGCATTACAAATTGAATAGAAATTTGTCCTTAGTAAATTTCTTTTATTTGCCTTATGTGCCTTGCCCTGTCTTTACTAACCTAAGTTACTGAGTAATGAATAATAATAATATTTCCTGTGTTTCAAGGAGTGGGAGAAAGGAAAATGTTGCCTTGTTTTTCTGTCTCTTTTTGTTTGTTTGTTTGTTTCCTTCAGTTGGGGAAATACTATTTCTGTCCTACCACCTTGTATTTCCGTTTCTTAAATACTACCTGTAAAATAAAACTTAACTTTTGTAAGTACTTTAAATACTTTGACTTTGCAAGCTCTTTGTGCATAAAGTGATTTGCAGAATCTGCTCCGAGTACACATCATAGGAAAAGTAGTATAGTGGCAAGTTTATTTGCATTTAGCTCAGGAGTTACAACTGTATATATGTCTATTGTCCTAGGAGCGTTTGAGGGTGGAAAACAGGATTGGTGCTGGTGTGAACACTACACTGAGGAACATAGATGGAGGTTTCTCTTCTCTCTCTTTGATTTTTGTTGTAAAATACCAAAAGAAAACACTGGATCTTGGCATATTCAGAGGTCTGAATGTGAGTAGACGGCAACAGCAGGCTTCCACCTGATTTCACTGCAGTCCTTGAGCTCAATTGATAGGAGGAGCTCTAGAACAGATGAAGTAGCAGTATCTTAACTGGCTGCAGATCAAAGCTTTTGCTGATCCCTGTCTGCTGTTTACATAGTAGAGTGAGAAAAAAGCTCAGGCTGGTCACTGCCACAGAAAGAAGAAGCCCCTTTGGGAGGGAAACATGCTGTTTAGTTTTTTGCCTTTTTTTAGACCTATCTGCAAGTGTTAAAAAAACCTTAATTTTATGAGCATGTGATGAAGCCCAGTAGCAGTTACTTTTTAATTTCTTGCCCCTCTGTGACACTTTTGTTGGAGGTCAAGGGAGTCTGAAGACTGAAGTAAAGATCGGTTATCCTAGTGTCTTAGTGTAAGTATCCGTTTACTCCTCCGATGGCTTGCTTTGTTACCCACAGCTGTTGAGATCCAAAATGGGTGGAGGTTAGTCTTGAAGAGGTTGAGGAAATTAGATATTTAGGCACTGTTTCAGGAAAAGTGCATTATCTATCAAATGCAGACAATATTCATAGGGTTATTTCTTTGTTTATTTAAGTAGGCAAGTGACTTCTACTTTTTTTTCCCCTAACCCACAATGTTCTTTGTGTTCTTCATGCTGTAACTGAATGGATGTCTCCTTTTGCTTTTAACAATTAATGTGGCAATCTGGAAGTGTAGTCTGTTCTTTTCAGTGTGCAGGAATAGTTAATTTTTACTGAGATGCCACCTAGTAACTTACATGCTGTTTTGATCTTCAGTATGTATTGAATTCAGTATTTTGTGTATTTCAGATGATAAAAAAGATATTGACCATGAAACAGTGGTGGAAGAGCAGATCATTGGAGAGAATTCTCCTCCAGATTACTCAGAGTACATGACAGGGAAGAAACTTCCTCCTGGTGGAATACCTGGCATTGACCTCTCAGACCCCAAACAACTGGCTGAATTTGCTAGGTAAGTAGGAAGAAAGAATTTAAACTAAAATGTTTTTCGTTGGTTTATTTATGAAACTGTTAGGCAAAAGAAATGGTAGATTTAGTGTGGCTTATTCCATTTAATCATCTTCTGCACAAGGTACTTAATTCAGAATAGAGTACTCATACTGTGTTAAAATAACTGGGTTTTCCATTCAGCAGTGACTTCTTCAATGACTTCTGGTCTGTAGTTATGACTGGGTAAGACAGGACCTATTTACGTTGATAGACTGTGTCTTTTACTTGACAGGATGTCTCTTTCATGTGAGTAGTGGTAGATCCTAGAGCACTAAAAGATACTATAAGTGAAATGCTGTGTTCAGGTTGTTCAGTGCAAGAAAGCTACGCTACAATGTTTAGTTTATGAAGCCCGTTTGAGTTTTTTAACTCACTTCTTACTACTGAAGCTCTAGATCTTAAACAACTTCTTAGTGGAATCATGTGTCTTGCACTTTCAAGTGCCACTGATAATTGCTGTTTCACAATTGGTAACTATAGGGCTTGGTTTTTCCTCTAGTGAATTGGAATTGTCACTTGTTTACATATCAGCACGCTGACCGGAGTTACAAGGTGACATTTACTTTCAAATAGAGGTGAAGTGATGAGAGCTCTGTCCTGCAGGGGAGTACCGAAAGTGTCATGTGTGTCTTGGCCCTGGCTCTGGTACTGAGTGCTTGGGGCAGCCGGTGGCCACCACAGGGCAACTGAGAGACATCTGCTTTGGTGCCTGGAAGCTGTGATGTTAGGGTTGCCTTCACGATGATTACTTGGTGGGCTTCTTTGTCTGCATGTGCTTGTAATTACCAAAGGCGTACTCCTCTGCTCAGTGCATGGGCAGCATTAATGCTGGTGTCTCCAAATATCTGAGCACAACTGTTAGCTTCCTGCAGCTGCTATTACTTTTCGCATGTTGAAAGCAAAATATATGTGTGAAGCTATGCTGGTTTTCATTTTGTTACCAGCTGGCTGTTCTTCAGAGCTCTGGTGCACAATTCTGACACTCTGAGCAGGTGGGTGATCAGATGTTGTTACTCTTGCTGCCTGGGTCAGCTGGTAGAGGGAGAGATGGCAGGGACTGTTGAGCCAAGTTCTAGTCTGGCTTCTTGGTTAGGTGGATTTTGGTGTCCAGTGTGTACATATACTCGTTTCACCTCTTATCTTGCTGCTTTGTACAAACCTGTTCTGTTACTTTTCAATGTGTTTGTGCCAGAGGATTGCCAGCACAGCCTTGTCCCACAGTTCTTTTCAGGAAGCCATTGAACTATGGGTTTTGAAGGCTCCTAGTAAGATAGTTTTGCAGAGCTTGCTCCCTTCTTCAGCGTACCTAATTTGGAAATAAAAACAGATCATGAGTAAATGAAAACAAGATTTTATCTGAACTGGTGGATGGTTCTTGCTGTTGATACAGTTGTTACTTGTTTTACTATTGTTGATCAAAATAGTTGTGTTTTCCTCCGAGACCTGCTGAAAAGTTAATAGAACTTTTATTGTGAAGGCAAATGTTTTAAGTGGTACTTGTAAGTGTATGTAGCATTCTAATTCTAAGCTGTTGCTTACACATTTCTGCTTGTTGTTCTTAGAATGGTATTCCCAGTTACTTGAAGACATGCCGAAACCTTTGGTTCTATTAAATATTTAAGTACTGAATAGCTACCTTTTGTTAGGAAGTTTAAGTAGTTTGTTGTAGGGTGTTATCCCTGGAAATACTGATATTTTTCTGCAGATTGGTTTGAATAGTTGAAATGTTTGCAAGGATTGGAGCCTCTTGAAGTCACCAGATTGCCTTTATCAGATCTCTTTGCATATTTCTTAATATTGTAAAATGTACTGTATCTTTGGGGTTTAACTGTTTTTTTTGTTGAGAAAATAATGGCAGCTGGCAGTAATTAAAAATTACCACTTGTTTTTTTTTCAATTCATGGTAGAATGTTCTGCAAGTTCTAGACCTAGAGTTTGTAGTAGATGATAGAAAAATTGAGTTCTATGTGGTTTGGTTTTTTTTTTCTGTTACTATATTTCTGTACAGCAGGTAAAATGTAGTCCACTTCCATCATAAGACAAATATGTGGTGGTAGAGTCAGCACCCTGCAGGATATTACCTTCAGCAATATCACAGAATTGATCAAAACCTATGGAGAATTGTTCTGATAGCTTCATTGTAGATACATCTTCTGTTTTAAGAAAGATTTTTGGACCTCTTGGTCAGAATTGATGACTGTCAAACTTGTACTCTTGCTTCAAAAAAAGGAAAGTGAGAAAGAAAACTGTATTAGTTGTATTTTAGATGTTAAATAATTGTGCATAGCTGTGGCTGAAGAATATGGATGTATTGAATATTGCGTGTAAGGTCTTGGTCTTATTGCAGCATTATTGAAGGGACTTCACTTAGCTAATAACACAAATTCAAACACTGATATCTGCATCAATTGTCTTGTTGATCTAAATTGCTGTGTGCAGGATCACTGGAAGGAAAAAAACCTATTTTTTATGTACTTGAATTGGTTTTGGAGGTCTAAGGATAGGTTCTGTGTTTATAAGCTGCAGTGTGCTTTGATTAAGAATAAATTGCCTGAAGCGTTGCATCAATTCTTGGGAACAAAGTTCTGAGGTTAAGCTTAAATGGGCAAAGCTTGAATTCTAATAGTAACAGATTTCAGGCAACGTTCTGGAGTTCTGATCATGGTCTGGTTAGTGGGAGGTAAAGCAGGGGTGGACTTGATGATTGAGTCCTCTGTAGCTCTGCAGCCCTTAAAAATTAAAAAAATTAGAACTGTAGTGATTCAGCATCTGCAACGGACAGCACTGCTGCTCAGCAGCTAGGTGGCACTAGTGGAGCGAGCAGTTGTACTGCGACTTGTGACACGATTGTCTTTCGCCACTTTCTAGTGCATTTTTCATTGACTCATGTAGCAGGAATCCGGATCCTTTAACTGGAACTCATGTATTTCCTGCAAAGGCTTTTATACATTCTCAGACTACTGAGAACACTCTGAATAAGCAAGCGTGTCAGAACAGCCATATGTGTTAAGTAATGCATAGATGAATGACCGTAATATACCTTTTGGGGGGCAATTTATTGCCTTTTACAAATTATTTTGTTGTATTTTAGAACTCATACATTTTCTCTAGTATGCTTTAAAAATGCAACAAAAAAGAAAAAAATGACGATTTCTCTTAGGTAATCACATCAGAATGTGAAACATTAGTTGGGAATGATCTGCTCAGAAAGAAATAAAACATAGTAAATTAGCACCTTCCCATTTGATACCTTTGACTGGGACACTGGAAATTCCTTCAAGTGAAATAAAATGTTTCATCCAAGTGTAAACTGATTTCAAGTAATTCTGTAGTTAGCTGTGAAGAAGTTTTAACTGCCTAGTATTAGAAGCTAGACATATTTCTAGTTGGTGTGTAGGGCAAATTCCCTTGAACAAAACCACTAAAAAATTATCCCTGATTACCCTCTCTCTCCCTTTTACCCTTCAGAGAAGTATGTGACTGAACTGGCTAAAGACAGCAGAATATGGCTAAGAAAGTAGAGGGCAGTATGCTGTAGCTGGGAAGTTGGCACAGTAATGGGTCCTAGTGATAAAAAGTTTACTCTCGTGGATTTATCTTCTGCTCTTACACCTTTTCTGAAGGAGAGCCCTGGTGAGGACTGCTCTTCCTTTCTATCCACTTGCCAAAACAGATAGAAAACAAAGAGGAGGAAACTGCATTAGTGTTTGAAATCGGACACCCTTCTTCAGCGACAAAGCGTTACGGTCATAGATTTTTCACTTCGGCCTCTTTATAAGGTGTACGCCTTTGTATTGGTTTTGTTCTTGTGACAAAGAAGCTTAAAGGGCAGTAAACTGACAATTGCTTTACCAAAGTGTTCCTCTAGGGGAGAGGAAGTCTCTTGTTCTGTACCACACTGCAAAGGTCACCCTTTCTGTTTAAATGTACCATATTCTTCATAACTGCAACAAAACCAGTAGCTATATTTCCCAGAATACTGTAGTGAAAGAGAACTTTTTATGCCATTTTCCTACCTAATTGTGACCAAAGCACAGTAAGACAGGGCTATGGGCTCTTTGGTTTTAGGTAGATTCCTAGGACACCTTTTACCACTCCCTTTTGTCTATTTATCCAAAAGCCAGTCTAGCCAGTTTCAGGAGTTCTTCAGCACAAATGAATTCTTAGAGCAGCACAGGGCTGTGACAGTCATGTTGTTTCTGCCTCTACAGGGCAGTGCAAGGGGAAGGGCAGAGTGGGGGAACAGATCAGAAGTGGCAGTGACACTGCTGATAGAGACCAATTTCCTCCTCTTGTAACTCTTCTTAGGGATGCGTCCCTGCCCAAAACAGGGAGGTTGGACTAGATGATCTCCAAGGTCCCTTCCAGCCTAGGATAAGAAGGATGTGTCAGAGGAGTTGCCGGAGAGTGTAATGCTGTGTAGGTTAGATTTATATATATGAGTGAGAAGAAAGGATTTGAGAACACGGAAGTTTAACAAAGACACAAAAGGGAGATGATGGAACAAGAGGGAAATTCTATACTGGTTTTTGGGTTTTTTTACTTATGAATTTCCTTTATTACTAGTCTTAACTCTGTTTCTGTAGCTAAAATTTTAAAATTGCATCTATCTACAACACAGTAGATTGTGGAGAATGACAGAGGTTTACGGTGGTGCTTGGTTCTGCCAAGGTACACTTTTTTTTGTTTAGCTGAGTAGATGAAAGGAAGGTAGCTAGCTGTTACTTTCTGATATTGCACAGTGACAAGAGTTACTTATTTTATGTTGAGGAACTTAGTGGTTTAGTACCTGTGATTTTGTTCAATGTTCTTTATGCATGGATAAGAGAGGGTGCTTTTATGGAGCTTGTTCAGTGAAGCTATTGAGTTGCACTCCTTCCTGCACCGTCTGCTATGCCCCATTCCTTCCTTCCACCCCCCTCAATACAAGTTAACAGACTTTGCCTTTAACTGTAGCGTGCCAGTGCCTTGATCCAAAAGGTACACTTGCTAATTTTTTGCAGCCAGGTAGTCTGCCATTGCTACTACTAGGCACAGCATGTATAAAATCACTGCAAAAATGAAAATTCTGGTCTTGCCATGTAAATTGACTTTCTGTAAAGGCAGCCATTTCAGAAGTTCCACCCAAGTACTAATACGTGTGTTTAAATAGCAATATATGTTAATTGTTCTGGTTTTGATTAAGTTTCAGGCTAAAAAAACTTGTGCAGAGCTGGTAGAGATACTCTACTGGGTGGGAGCCTAAAGTCTTACCACTAGCAAGAGTTACCTGTGACAGTGTAATTTAAGATCAACATCCCAGGCTCTAGTCTGACCTTCTTTTGCAGAAAGATAATTTTAAAATAAGACTAAAATATTTTTACTAGAACATTTGAATATATGTCTTTAAATTCTTCTTTCAGAGATTGTCCATATGGATTCCACAGCTTTGTAAGCAAGATGACATTTTGAACAAAATGATTGGTTGTAACTGTGCCTGTGGTGTATGTGCCCTTATGCCTTTAATCCAAGCGTATGAAAGGCCCTGCAGGTTCTTGCTGCCTGTGGTGCTAAAATACAACCTGGATGCTGTTTGCTTTGTGACATACTCTAGGTAATCCTGCTCTGACAGGCGGCTTGGACAGATGATTTTCAGAGGTCCCTTCCAACCCCTACCATTCTGTGATTTTTCTGCCTCTTCGTGTTGGGAATGTCAGCTTCTGTTGAATAACTGGGTTTCCTATGGAACCCAGTGCCTATACACAGTCTTGTTCCACATTTTAAGCTTAACTACTCTGATTCCCATACTTCCAGGAGAAAGGAAAATATCTAAAATCTACACCTTTGTTAGCTAAACTTTGTGGCCATTTTTTTGTAGTCAGTAGGGCTTTTACATAAGTATACTGCTGAGCTGATACTCCTCACTTCAGAAACACAGCTTGAAAATGAAACATTCTACTTATGCCAGAATGGACACTCACCAAACAGAAAAATGTAAGGACACCAAACAGAAAAATGTAAGATGTATGATGAAGCTCCAATCTGACCCATGTCTGACCATCCAGTTCACCTGCAATTGGTTCCTCAAGCTTTCTGACTACACTGACACGGGAGAGTTAACGAATAGATTTTAACATGATGATTAGTGGGATCTTATGCCAAGTGTAAAAATGCAGGCACTGCCCATTAAAGCTGTTTACCACATGTCTTGTTAGCAATTCCTTTTCTGTCTAGTCTTTAGCTTTGAAGGTGGTCAGTTAAGACTTCAGGAAAAAATAGTGGTTTTACTCATTGACACGGATCTTGCAGCTAGGAGTTTTGCTTTGTTATTTGGGGTTGGGAGAATTACTCAGCCAACATATAACAAGTTGATAAGAGTTAGAAGTAAATAAGGTGATTTTGGCACCAGCTTTGTCCCCTGAGGGTGTTCTGTTTTCTAAAAGCATTAAATCATGACACTATGTTCTCTCTTGTCCCGTCTTGTCAAAGCATTCAGCAGTGTGTCCATTTTGGCGTAACAGATGCTAATTTGTGTGCCTTTTCCTTTTTAAAAAATCATAGATAATAAGAATCCCATGTAAAAGGTAGTTGAAAGCTTTCTGTAGGGGTGCTGTAAGAAAGCTTTTGTTTGTGTTTTTCTATAGCCTCAGTACCTGTAGTACTATCCGTCTAGAACCTCACTGAAGAGTGGAGTCAATCAGTTAATCGTAATTAATCACTTGTCTGGATCTAGGTATTTAATACTTTACTCAAAAGAGGCTGTGTAAACTAAAGACAGCACAATCTTGGTGAAGCTGCATCTGGAGTATTGAGTCCAGTGCTAGTTCCCCAGTTCAAGGACAGGGAACTGCTGGAGAGAGTATAGCAAAGGTCTCTGAAGACAATTAGGGGACTAGAACATCTCTTACAAGGAAAGGCTGAGGGACTTGGGGTTTTTTGGTCTGGAGAAGAGAAGACTGAGGAGGGATCTTACCAATGCTTATAGATACTTCAAGGGTAGATGTCAGGAGGATGGGGCTAGTCTTTTTTCAGTGACACCCAGTGACAGGGCAAGAGGTAATGGCACAGACTTGAACATAGGAAGTTCCATCTTAACATGAGGAGGAACTCTTTACTTTGAGGGTGGCAGAACACTGGAACAGGCTGCCCAGAGAGGTGGTGGAGTTGCTGTCTCTGAAGACATGTAAAACCTGCCTGGTTGCCACCCTCTGCAACCTGCTCTATCTGAACCTGGCACGGCAGGGAGGTGGGACCAGATGATCTCCAGAGGTCCCTTTCAACTTCTGTCATTCTGTGATTTTGTATTCCAGTTGGATTATATAAATTGTAATCACTAAGGTCGACTAAGTTGCTCTGTAGTCTTGAGGGGAAAAAAGCAACAGTTGGAAAGATTAGTACACTAAAGAGTCTGTTCTACAGAACAGACATAGTTTGCTATGCTCAGGATGTTTCTGACCTTAAGTAGATGAACTGTTTAATTATACTGCTGGTGATAGTGCAGGAGGAGCTTTGTCGTCACAAATACCTCACATCGGTCTTCTAGGAGCTGTTAGTATCTGTAAATGGGGAGATTGTTGGATGATACTCTCCAGCTGCTGTCTTTTTTTATCACATCTGTATTTTCAGTCCTGCAGGGCAGTGAGGTGTTCTTCCATTAACACTGTACATATTCAATGTACTCGAGAAATGCTTGAGCCAGCAAGCATTTTCTTAAGTGTCCCCTTAGAGAAAAGTACAAGTGTGGCCTCTAAATCCTTGGGTTTTAATGTGTCTGTGAAGTGGCTGTCAAGTGCTTTAGTCTGTATGTGATCAACTGATGTGTGCTACATCTGCAACTGAGAGGAGTCAGATCATTTGAGGGACAAATGGTATCCTGCAGAGCTGTAGGAGACTCCTCTATCACATATGACTCTACAGGCAGTTGTGAGGAGATTTTCCTGGATCCAGTCTTCAGGAGTTCTCGGGAGGTTTTTGCACTGCCCTTGCCTTAATTCAACCTCACAGGGCTTTCCACTGCTGTACTCTCTCACCTGTCCACGTGAAGGAGGCAGGCAAAACAGTGGAGTTCAGCTTTCTTCTGAAACCTTGTGTGGTGGAAACACTGAGGAGTGATTGAGACTCATCTATTCTTCATGTCCTGGTCGAGGATGGACTGCAGTTGGAGATAAACAGGCGTATGGGTACTGACACAACAAAAACATCCTCATTACAATTAGTCTGTCAGAAAAGAAATGCACCCTCTTCCACCTACTCAATGGACTAGGAAGGTAGTGTTAAATGTCGTGCTCTCTATTTGAGAGGTCCTTCCAGAAGAGCTGAAATTTCCAAATGCCAGACTGCACTGTTAATACTATTCTGAAGGTTTGCAAAATATTAAACTGGATATGACTGACACATGTAATACTCCTTGAATAAATGTGTGTATTTTTTAGGCGATTATGGGAGAAGAGCTGTCTACTAATGTTTTTCTGCCTTTTTTTTTTTCCTTTTATCAAGAATGAAACCAAGGAAAATCAAAGAAGATGATGCTCCACGAACGATAGCTTGTCCTCACAAAGTAAGTCAAGTGTTCAGCTTCTAAGTAGGTAGTAGTTTGTAGACCAGAATTTTGTATTGATATTTTCTCTTGAGAATGAATAACTAAAATATCTTACTGTTAATAGAATACACTCAGTTTTACTGTATTTTAGTTATTATTCTTTAGAGGCTTCCTTAAAAACCTTTCGCTGAATAATATGTTATTCCCATTCCTTGTCTTAAGGTTAGTGCATCCCTAATCTTCTGGTAACCATGATGCACAGTCCCTAACATGCTGGTTTTACTGTTGTGATTTCCTGCCACCCAAGAATACATACTTGAAAGAGAGTTCTGAAAGCTGTTCAAAGTACGTTCCTAAGATCTATATATCCTCTGCTTGGAAACTATGACAGATTTTGGAGTCTAGATCAGGAATCAGCAATTCATGATGCAGATGCCAAAGTCAGTGTTATTGGAAGACTTTGAAATAACATTCCACAGAGCTGGAAGGTGCATCATCTTAAAAGAGAGAGAGGCATCCTGGAGATACCATTCTGACCCACCGGTAGCGGGGAAGCCTCTGTCTTGAATAAATGCTGCCAGTCACCTAGATTGGTAGCATCTAGCTTTACTGCATTATCCAGCTTTTGTAGAGCTTCTGTTAGCTGACTTAGTCTCTAATGAAAAAAGACAAATACAATCTTGCTGACTTCTGGTCTAGATAAGTGTGAGCCTAAGCAAATAATCAGGGCAGATAGCTGATAGTACACATTAGAGAGCATGAATAGAAGGTTTCTTTCTGACAGCTATAGTCTAAGGAATTTGCTGAATTCCTCTTTGTGTTTGTATTAATATACAATTCTTCACATTCTACAAAAAAGTGACGTGTTTTTATTTTAGTATAGTATGTGGAGGTACAGGAACAGTTACTCTTCACTGTACCAAGGAATGCTGCCTTCATTTCTTTGATTTACTTTTTCATAGCCTCAACTTCATCTGAACAGGGGAGGGGAAAAAAATATTCTGTCCTTCCATTTTTTCTCTTTTAGTGTTTCTAGGCTTTGTGCATTTATGAGTTCAGTTTAAAAAAGAAAATACTGTAGAAGATGTAACTATTCCTCTCAGAGGCAAGCAGAAACTTTGAAATAAATACAAAAGAAGTTGATGGTATGTTTATTTTAGTGCTACTTTGCCCCACTCAGTTTTTTTCTGTGCAGTGAATGATGGTCCAACACTTCAAATTAGCCAAAGAAACTCTAATGCCTGAAGAGAGAACTCTTTTTGAAAGTGGCATTTCCTCTTTTTTTTTAAGAAACCAGGCATATTTAAATGTGGCTTTAAGTTTTAAGTGGGGGAAAAAATCAAGGGAGGAAGCCTGCAAAATTTAAGATTAGCAGTTTAATGTTCCTCTAGGTTCTGTTGTTGAATTTTAAGCCTCATAGGACAGTGATGTTGGAAGGCTTAATTGTATGTAAGTTTAAACAGTGTCAGTTGGAGTACAGTTAGAATTTCGTGCTGTTAATAGAATTTTATGAGGGATTTTGGCCCTTAAGGAAGGCATTTCTAAAACACAGACTACTGAGTGTCACTAAAAGGTGGAAAAAAAAGTATAGAGAAATTAGGTAAAGAGAGCCTCAGGTCGCTCCTGACTTAAGTGTACTCTGGAATCAAAAAAGTGGTATTTCTGTGTCAGTGCAGCAGGGACACATTTGAGATTTCTGATGCTCTACCTGAGTTGATAGGTTGAGTCAACACTAGTTCAGAGATTCTTCTTCCTTTTTCAGTTACCCAGTATGACTTTGTAGGTTTAAACTGTAGAAGCAGTTACAGAATCTCTTGCATCTCAAGGTAGGAGTGATGAATCTGCTGCTGCCAGTTTGGACAAGGTAGTTTTTGTAAGCTGTTACATTCTGGAAGTGCTCTTGCTCCGTTCCCTCTCAGCAATGAGAAGGACAGAAAAGGAAGAGGACAGTGTTGGGAGCTGGAGTGGTGCACGTATTGGTACTCGAGAATAATCAGCTATATATTAGAGTTTATATCATATGTTGTAGTACTCAGAATATAGCACACTGAAGAAAAATGCCATAGGTATCCATGAACTATCATTCTGTCTTCTGTTTTTTCTTTTAAGTGCTTTTGTTTGGTTTATTCGTTTGCTTCTATCAGAGCTACATCTTCTCCATGAGACTGTCCTATTATTTATTTGACTGCACATGGTTCATGATACTAAGTAAGGAGAGGATTTGGGGGTTTTTTTGTTTGTTTGGGTTTGAGAGTTTTTTGTCTGCTTTTCAAATGATTAATTTTCTTGTTTTGTTTTTTTTTAATGTAAGGGATCTCCTTCTCAGGGCAAACTTTTAAGAAAATATTCACGATATAAACGCATTTTAAATGCTTATACTGTAGCAGATAAGCTAGTTCTGATAAAGAAAGTTTTATCTACTAATTGAGTTTCACTGTTGTTTTTAAAGGGCTGCACAAAGATGTTCAGGGACAACTCTGCCATGAGGAAGCATCTGCACACTCATGGCCCCCGAGTACACGTATGCGCAGAATGTGGCAAGGCCTTTGTGGAGAGTTCAAAACTAAAGCGACATCAGCTAGTTCATACCGGAGAGAAACCCTTTCAGGTATTGTTAACCTCCAGACATAAGTATCTCAATTTATTTGGTGAGCGTATGTAGACTATGTAACCTAGCTTCCATATAACTTTGAGGATAGCTATGTTTTTTCCAGAATCAGATGACTCACTAAATGATCCACTTAAAAATGGGAAGTCCCCTTAAGCAAACTAGGCTGTTATTTAACTGTTTCTCTGGGCTTTTATTAGAAATTAAGAAATAGTATATACATGGGTGATGCCTTCCAAAATACGGTGTAAAGTTACCCACTTTAAAAAAGAACTCTAGTTACTACCGAATGAGGAAAATGTCTCTATCTCCTCATCATCCTTTCAGCTTACCACTTGCAGATAACTGAGGCATGAGACTGTTTGCTCAGTTGACTCACGATAGTAATTTTCAGTAGCGAGTATTAATCAGTTCTCAGCAAAACAATGGCAGTCACTGAATCTTTTTCCATTCATATCAAGTCACGTGGGCTTCTGCCAGCAGAGCTCCCCTGCCTACTTCCTATGATACTTGTAACTCTGCACAGGTATTCATAGTCTTGGGCATATTTGTGTTCTCCAGTACATCTTTAAGATATGGGGGTTTTGTTGATTTGTTTAAAAATTAATTATTGCAGAAATTTTTGCAGTCCTCAGACATTTACTTCGATGTGTATGCTGGCCCTGCTGTGTGGTAAATACAAGTATTTATGGGTAAACATGCTTTCCTTTTTATTCCAAACCCATTGGAAAAGTAAAGCTGGTAAAATAATAAAATCATTGCGAATTGGCACTGAAAGGGGGAAATTTTGATGTGAAACATTATTTCTGTTTTCTAGTACAGCAAAATAAAATACCTTTCAGGCAGAGAGAAGGTGTTTTTAGTGAAAATGTTTGCTTGCAAGTTGGAAGTGATTTCCTCTTTGAAGATAGATATGCTACCTTGGTAAAACAATGTGAAATAGTATTTCACTTTTAATGCAGCTTACAAGTGATGCCCACAGCGTTATTACAATCTTCAGTATCTAGTTTGATGTTTGTGCAGTCTAGTGATTCAAAGAATATTGGTCCAATTAATGATTGAAATAAATACTGTTCTGTTAGCTAATGGAACGTGTCTTTTCCTTTCAACAGTGTACATTTGAAGGATGTGGAAAACGTTTTTCACTGGACTTCAATTTACGCACACATGTGCGAATTCACACTGGCGACAGGCCCTACGTTTGCCCATTTGATGGCTGCAATAAGAAGTTTGCGCAATCAACTAACCTGAAATCTCACATCTTAACACATGCTAAGGCCAAAAACAACCAGTGAAAGTTGGAGGAGAAAGTTCTTGAACTCAAAGCATCTTACAGGAATATGAATTGGAAATAAATACGCCTCCCCTTTGTATATTGTTTCTAGGAAAGAATTTTAAAAAAAAAAAGAACCCTACAAACCTAAAGGACGTGTTTTGATAAGTAGTAAATAAAACGCAAAAAAACACTTTAAGGTGACATTGCTAAGATGCTCTACCTTGCTCTGTAATCCCGTTTCAAGAACACGGTGTTTTTGTAAAGTGGCCCCAACCGGAGGGGTCGATTCATGAACTTGCGTCAAAAAAGACAATTCTTTATACAACAGTGCTAAAATTGGACTTCTTTTCACATTCTTATAAATAAGAAGCTCACCTGTTGCTTACGATTTTTTTAATTTTGTATTCCAAGTGTGCATATTGTACACTTTTTGGGGATATGCGTAGTAATGCTATGTGTGGTTTTCCGGAGGTTGATAACTTGCTTGCGATAGATTTTCTTTAAAAGAATGGGCAGTTACATGCATACTTCAAAAGTATTTTCCTGTAAAGAAAAAAAAGTTATATAGGTTTTGTTTGCTATCTTAATTTTGGTTGTATTCTTTGATGTTAACACATTTTGTATAATTGTATCGTATAGCTGTAATGAAATCATGTAGTATCAAATATTAGATGTGATTTAATAGTGTTAATCAATTTAAACCCATTTTAGTCACTTTTTTTGGAGAAATACTGCCAGATGCTGATGTTCAGTGTAATTTCTTTGCCTGTTCAGTTACGGAAAGTGGTGCTCAGTTGTAGAATGTATTGTACAGGCACTGACCTTTTATTAACACCTGATAATATGTACATCCCGTGTAATAGAAAGGGCAACAAATAAAACAGTGGTCCTAAAGAAAGAATATGGCAGAAAATTATCTGTAAGCACAGTCTATTTTCTTTTTGTTGTCCAGAGCAGTCCTAGTTCCTCTTGACCTCCCAGAAATTGGAAACTAAATAAACTCAGGTTTCCTTTAGTTTGCATTCAGTTACAGTGATTTGTGATGAAATTACATAATGCCAGGTCAGGTGATATACCCAAGCAGAATTGCCGACTAATTCTGTTCTCGAATGACCTGGACTTCCATTAACGAGTGGTGAATTTGGAGACTTGGCAGTGTAGTAGGGAGTTTTCGGTGTGCCTGGACAGCAGCTAGGTAAAACAGTACAGTGAACTTGGTGGGCACCTTTGTTTAGTCATGATAAGGGATCTTGGAGGTTTAAATGCAATAACAATAGGAAATGGAGGAGCGGTAGGGTTTGAGGGGTTGTACTAGAAAAAGAGTATTGTCTTTTTCTTTTGGCTGACCTGTTTGATTGAGTGTGATGGTGAAAATTCTTGGAACCTCGTTTGACACCTTTTACTTTAAAAAAGGAACTCAGAGTTCTCAGAGAGTTTAATGGTCTAAAAGTGGCTGCTACTCATTTGTTCAAGTGTTCAAAGTAAGAAATTTCCAGATCCTATAGTAAAATGTGACAGATTAATAAATATAAGAATATGCACAGAAATGCATAAGAATTATTTTTTAGAAGCATATGACATACTTCAATGCGGTAAAAACTGTCAGTCTTTTTTGGAATTCTATTCTTGCAAGGTTCGTCAAACTTTTCATTGCTAATACTGTAAAACTTACTTTTGAGTTCAGTTTTGGTGGTAGTGCAAAAAACATGAGTAATAATGAAACTACATTTAAGACCAAGGGAATTCTCATCCGTACATGAGTTAATCTGAACGCTGCAGCTATAGTCTGAGATTATAAGAGGTAGAAGAAAAGATGGGACATTTAATTGTAAAGTATGCATTAGAATTTTGGCAGTATTTTTTTTATATATATATAAGCAGTTCTTGAACAGGACAGTATGCTGAAACTTGTATAGTTATAGTTAAATTAAATTCTGTATACAGTTAAATTAGTGTCTATTCTTTTTGGAAGGAAATAAAATCAGTTCAGTCTAGTTCTAATCGACCTTATATTTTTTTCTTAAACAGTGTATATGATGGTGTTAGACTTGTGCAAAACTTTGCTTCCCTATGTCATAAAGTGGTACCTATTTTATTGAATTTCAAGGTAAAGAGATTCTTTGATGGTGTCAGTGCTTCGTCCTTGGAACATACGTTTGAGACTGAACGATTTATATTAAATATTGATTTGAGGATTAACTACAAACTGAAACTGGTATTGCCCCTAGTTATATTGCATCTGATTACAGAGAGAGATGTGAAAAACTTTCATCTAGGCCTCAAATCAGTAGCATTCGATACATCCCTGAGTGTAAATAGCAACACATAGTAGGATGAAAGATCTTGCTTTGTACCTGATTAATTCCGTATTTGGGTATGAATAAACACTTGCATTGAGCAGCTTCTGTAAATTATTTAAGCTTTTAAAGTATAATTGGCATATTTTGTTCTTAAAGCGTCATGCTGAGTTGATTCCAGACTTCTTACAGATTTTTTAGTGAAGAAATAATGAGTTTTGAGAATGGCAACAGAGTTGACTTTGAAATTGTGCTTGCCAGCCTACTATTGACAAGTTCCTGTATTACATCATAATTCATGAGCAAGATCACATAAGGGGAGGAAAGTCTGAGGGGTGGGGGAAACCTAGCTGGGGGTTTTACGGCTGGAAATACATTTTAAGTGTTTACTTGTTGTGCCTGTTCCTCTCTCATATGATCTTGTATTTCATATTACCTTACCTGGTTCTCCTACTTTTGAAATGGAAGCAGAAAAATTGTTTAGCTCTGTATCTTTTGGACTCAGACCACTTTTTTAAAGGTAGAACTGACTATAGACTTTCTTTCCTAGCTGTGTCTTTTTGTGGTCTGCCAGTAGCAGTAGGTCCTGCTGTAAATACAAGACAAACTGAACATAAAGACCTATTGCTTCTGGAGACTGTTTTTCTTGAAAAGGTTGTAGGAGGAGCTCAGGTACAGATGTGAAACACTTCAGTGAATAAATTCTCAGTGAAGCAGAATGCCAGGGTCTCAGCTGAATTACACTTGATCTTAGTTACTTTCTTTTTGAAGAGGTTCACTGTTGAATTGAGGTAGTAAAATGTTACTTTTTTTTTTTTTTAAATGTCCTTCCATGGTGGCCCCAAGTTGTCAACAAAGCCAAACACTAAACACATTCTAAGAACATAACTTGTCAGCAGCAATGTAGTTTCAAAGGCAAATGGACGTTCTTTCCCTCTGCTGATTCCACAGCTAAAAAAGCAAAAGAAGCAATAGTTAATAGAAATGGCAAAATTACCAAGGCTTTAAAATGTTTGAAGAAAGGTACTCCAAAGCACTAGATGGAGCAGAATGGCAGTGGTGGTAAAAGGTGTTTCTACTTGGTCACCACCCTCCCTGAGGTGCTTGCAGGTTATTTTATCAGTGCCTGCTTTGGAAATACAGTTCAAGATGGATAAACTCGAGGACAAGTATGTACTGAATAGCATTCTTCAAAACAGGCTTCTTAATGCCTTGAAGAAATGGAGAAAAATAGGTAATTTTGTCAGGGCTGCTAGGCAAATCAGTCTAATTTGTTACTAGTGGTGGTTGATCCAGTTGTTCTATAATGTTGGCAATTTGGAATAGTTTTTTGTTTGTACAGCACCTTTCTTAAGTATGTTATGGTGGCTTGAGGAGGAAGCAAACAGTGTTTGTGTCAGAAGTAAGCTTTGACTTCGTAAGTGCACTTGTGTTCCTGTGTTGCTTAAAGCAGTGGAAAAACCAAAGGTCCTTTTAAAGCTTCAGAACTTGGGGTGGATTTCAAAACTGAGTGTTGATTGTAAATTTTGCTGGCAGGAATAAAAGTCAAAGCTGGACTTGGGACCAGCATGCTTATTCATGGCAGTGTAAACAGACTGGTTAAAAAGCAGCACTTTTCTTGGGAAGCGTGAAGAGGTTTCTTATATGCACCTAATTTGACAGTCCCAGGGCAAAACAATGGGAGAGTGAAGGGAGGAAGAGGATGTGAGACCGACTGTAGCACAAGCAGAAACATCTACACAGTGATCCATAAAGGTACACACAAATTAAGGGGGGAAT